GCTTTGTTTATATTTTTTTATTTATTTTTCAAATGTAACAAGAGGAGCACTCATGGATGCTTTCACTTCTGTCCCAACAGAGACAAATAGGCCTGTTAAATTGGGTTTGTAAATCCTTGCAATAATTGAAAGGATTAGAGAGAAGGGAGGCCCTCTTCAAAATCACTCCAATTGATGCCCTTCTCATAGGGCCAGGCAAGGCTTTACATTTTATGATGTGAAACCCAACTTTTTGTTGGGCAACTTAATGAGTTGGACCTTCTTCGTGGGTTGTGTGTAGACTGTAGCACAAATTTGGTTATGGCACTACACTGCTTGGGTCGACCTCAGGAAACCCTGCCTCCTTTATGCAGAAATTAAGAGGCAGTTGGAATGCAGTTCCTGAAACAAACTATATTAACTGGTATGACCACAAACTTGATCGTTGAATTGAAAATGTCTAGTTCGTAAATTACAATTTCATAATCCCCTTCTAAAACAAAGCATCCATTTCAAACTCCAACCACAATTTTTTGTTTTTTGTTGGACCTCAATTGTCTCTCCCTTTGCTTATAATTTAAAAGCTTAAAAGATTTTTAGTTTTTCTATTTATTGTTAATTTGTTTTGGGTTGAATGCTCACATTTTATTATAGAATGCTATTGAGGTGTTGAGCGCAACAATCCATGTGCTTTCAGTCAAACAAAGTATATGGGAATTTTCAGATATTTCATATATGCATTCTTCTCCAATATGGATGTATTTATAAAGAAGTACAAAGACGTGTTAACCCTAAATACGATAAGAAATAAATCTAAATTACAATATGACTAAATAAACTGGTAAGTAACCAAAATCCTAACTTGATAAGGACTCACCAACACTTTCACATCACCTAATGTGTGTGTTGTTCACGTGACAAGCTTAAATGATGCCAGATGTGTGGGGGCGTGTTGATAGTCTAAATTTCGATATCCCCTTGACTAAAAGTGTAAAAGATCATCTTGAGCATTTGCACTCATTGCCAATTAATTTTTGATTGAATGCTCACATCATAATATTTGGTACTCTCAAATAATGTTATTTTCACAACATAGAATTTCTCACCATCTTGAGCATCTGCAACCATTGCCAATTGATTTTTTATTGAATACTCACATTGTAATATTTGGTACTCTCTGATAATGTTATTTTCACAATCTCTCTCTCTCTCTCTCATATAGTTCAATTCCTTTCTTGCAACACATTTTGAGAAATCCAGGTCCAACTTGTAATAAAAATATCACTGATCTATATCACCTATGAATTGTGAGCGATTAGCATGATTCCCATTGGTTGGTGCTCAAGACTGGCACATCTATCTACTTATCCTCAAATAGACAATAGCCGAAATAAATAAATATATTTTTTATATGGTTTTACATAATTTGGTTTCTCTCTTCGACAGAGATTCCTCTGTATATATTATGCTCCCTAGCGATTATTTCATGGACCAGGTGTGAGTGGTGGATATATATCTGAGTTATTGTAAAGTCCAGTTCCCCCTATTTTGATATCAAGCTTTTGAAACCTTCCATCTTTTTAGGAGGACCACCTGCAGTAGGAAAAGGGCCTCTGTGATAAGCCATGAATGGAACCTGTCGAAGAGTCGTCTTAGATGCTGAATCTGCATATATCACAGATTGGTGTTGAAGAGGACCACTTCTAACTATAAAGTTAAAGAGACCCCAAGATTTGTTGCCTTTTTCAACAAATAATCACCGGCCAAACATGTCCCAATCAATTTCAAATAATATATATACCAAAAACCTAGGCAATTTGGTTGTTAATGGCAGCTTTCTCTTTACAGAATTAGTTTTCATGGAAAATTTATGTGGGGTTGTGATTGTTACATAGAAGAATGACACGTAATATCTTTTAGCTGGATTGTTCTGCCACTCAACAATATTATGTGACAGTATATATCAACCATATTTAAATTTCAATGATTTAATTGACTGATAAATATTAATGAATGTGTATATACTTTAACTCACTGATTTCTGATTTCATGTAAAACTCATAATAGCTAGCATAATGTGCAATAAAATTCATTCTCCACAATGTCATGCTCTTTGAGGCACGTACTAATAATTGTTTTGATTTTCAGCAATCACAATACCACTCCCTCCCTATATAGTCTCACTCCTCAGTCTTGTTTTGATTCCGAAAGTGTTAATAAACACCGAAATGACCTAATTGGGAGAGATTTCCATTCTTTCCACTCCCATTTCAGGTTAGTACGTAGACTGTTACCAACTGATTTGAGAGTGGTATTCAAGGTTTCTCCACCTGTTGCCAACTGAGTTGAACAAATAGACAACCAAGCCCCAAAAGTTTGACTTGGAGATAGCTCAATCAAATATATTCCCTCAAATGGAGAGATAGGAAAGGAAGAAATGAATAGGTTTTGATATGTACCTCCTAGAGCTATCGTTTTTCTTTCTCTTATTTGAAGTATACCTGCCAAAAGTTTCTGCTAATATTTGGCTCACCCTACGACCTAAATGATAATGCTACAGTTGTGACAGATTAGAATAGATATATTCTAAGTGATAATGCGGGCACTACTACGTACACATCTCTTTATCTTATCACCAGAGGTTACTGGACCACTGCTACACATCTTTTTGCTACTTCACCTGAGTTTCTACCATCAAATAAAAGTAAAAAAAAAAACTGGCCAATGATTCACTGCTTAGAATAGAACGTTAGGCTCCTACGTACCAATCAACTGACACAAAACCCCCAATCCTATCCTATCCAAGTAGAAAACTTGCAGCACCTGTTGACTATCTCCTTAATAATGCATTTTACATGCAGAAACAAACAACTTCATTGTAATATCTATACATATATCAGGGTACGGGGCACAGGTAGCCAGCTACAAGTTTTGGAATGTTGTTCAGAAGAAAGATCCGAAAACCTAATTCCAAAGATCTGAAAATTTAATACAAACAAGTAACATCTCTGCTCTGCATGAAAGACCCGATTACCCAAGTACATCCTCTTTGGCTCTTTGCTTTGTCCTAAAGATCCTGTCAGTGATCACCAATTCACCCTCATCTTGTGATCAATCATATCCTTAGCAGTACACCCCTTTGATATTAATAAAGGGTTTTATTTGATGTCTACCACACAAAAAATGAAAACAAAAGAAAAGAAAAAAACTTGAGAGAGAGAGTACATCCATTTTCTTGATGGGTTATTACTTATGAGGGAAAAAATATAGTAGATTCAGTAATTATCTCAGCTACAATTAAATCCACATATAAGAAATCTAAATATTAGATATGGATGAATTTGTGGATCAAAGTACGTAATTACTAGCCAAGCAACTATGAGTAAATGACAAGTTTTAGTACGTAAACTGTGAATACATGTAATTATATGTAAACTACACTTTTTAGTTAAATTCAAGCGCTTTGATTCACGGGGAAAAATTTGAAATTATTATTAGAATGTGAGTATTCCATTCAAAATCACTTGACAAATAATACAAATCTCCATATTTTTTAAGCTCTTAAGCTAAACTTTCATCATTTCGATGTGGAATATTCTCAACAGTTCCAACAAATATTTGAATTTACAACTTTTAAACTCTTGATATGTAATGATATTTATATTTTACAATTCCTTATGCTCGTTCTTTTTACCACTTAAATCTATGTGGGTTTGAAAATAGGAAAAGGGCTAAGAGAAAACCATGAGGTGAAAGATGCATACCAGAGTCTGATCGGAGAGTGAAAGTGGCCAATAATGATCCGTAAGTTTTTCATCTTTCAATATCTATTTTTTCTTTCGAGTACTTTTGTTGTCTAATGTGCTCCACTCTGACCCCTTTTGTGCTCTCTCTCTCTCTCTCTCTCTCTCTCTCCCAATTTAACCTTAAGCAAATATCCGAATAAGACATTTACCAATAAAAATTCTTTACCTCAAACTATAATAAAGTAGTACAAACTACGTTATTTGTTTTTTTTGGCACACTGTACATTTGAGGAGAGGGGTGTTTACACAAATATTCATTGGGTGCTTAGGAGTTTCAAACTTCTGTTCACATAAGTAGAGGGGAAAAACTCAACCAACTAAGCTATACCCCACTCTTTTCTTTCGAGTACTTTTGTTGTCTAATGTGCTCCACTCTGACCTTTTGTGCTCTCTCTCTCTCTCTCTCTCTCTCTCTCTCAATTTAACCTTAAGCAAATATCCGAATAAGACATTTCACCTATTTACCAATAAAAATTCTTTACCTCAAACTATAATAAAGTAGTACAAACTACGTTATTTGTTTTTTTTAGCACATTGTACATTTGAGGAGAGGGGTGTTTACACAAATATTCATTGGGTGCTTAGGAGTTTCGAACTTCTGCTCACATAAGTAGAGGGGAAAAACTCAACCAACTAAGCTATACCCCACTTGCACTAACTACGTTTTCTTTTGTTTTTAACTACTTGGTTAGACCAAAAAATTTCTCGGGTGTTTGTTTTTTATTCTTCATTTTTTGTCCTTTTTGGTCACCCAATTTATAAAAATATTATTATTATTATTATAAAGTGTTTGCGATATTTATGAAGATTAAGTTGTACAAAATAACAATACAATGATAGAAATATAATCAGGGCAAATAAGATAATTCATTGCAATGACATATAGGTTCTGGCTCTCCGCCATTGTGGACTAGGATCAAATCTAATTAGAAGTCTTAAACTTGAGACATGTACTTGTTGATTACCAAATCATTTTTTCCCAAACTATACACAATTCTGAAAATTTGACCTTTCAAATTCCTCTCTCTCTCTCTCTCTCTCTCTCTCTCTCTCTCTCTCTCTGTGCTTGTACCTTGAGATTCTTCAGTTGTGTGGCTCCAAAATGAGACGAATCGTGCCTCATTTCTCATTTTGGCTTTATAGATTCGCCAACTGGCTTATGGCTCCACTCCATCGCTCTCCACTACTACTATTTATAGGCAAAGCACCCAAGCCATTTCTTGCACATATACCATCCCTAGCTTCCCCTATAACCCTGCAAGCTACACATATGCACCTTTCTTCTTCCCCTTTTTCTTTATTTACACAGCCCTTGAAACCTTTCCATTAGTTGTAGAAGTTGCGTAAATTAGTATTTGACTAGCTTTGGGTTGTTTGATTAAATCATTAATGGGGTCCCTCCAAAAACACAACTCTTCCTGGACACCAAAACAGAACAAACTCTTTGAAAGAGCACTGGCCTTGTACGACAAGGATACCCCGGAGCGGTGGCAAAATGTGGCCAAGGCTGTTGGTGGGAATAAAACAGCTGAGGAAGTCAAGAGGCACTATGACATCCTTCTAGAAGACCTCAGGCAAATTGAGTCCGGCCACGTTCCTATTCCCAACTACAAGTCCTCCTATGGTGGTGGTGGTGGCGGCCGCGGCAGCAGCAGCAACATTAATGTTGATGAAGAAGAAAGGTACATGACATCCTCTATCTTTTTCTTGTACATGCAAGATGGAGTGGTTGGAACAATGATGCCCTAACAAATTTTAAAATCATTTTTTATTTTGTCAAGTGAATTTTACTAGAACTATTTTTGTTTTCGAAGTTTACACATTCTTAATAGCATTTTTAATTTTACTCAGTATGATATTTGAACCGTCTTTCTGACCACATTTAGCTGATGGCCTGATGCATTTACACCATGCCAATAGGGCAAGCATTTGGATATTTCGGAGAGATTAATATTTGTTCTTATTTGTTTCGTACACATTGCTTGCTTGCTTTGCAGGCTTCTGAAGTATCTTAAATTGCAGTGAAGTCCAAGTCAATTGCCACCTTTTCATGAAAAGGTTGACTACATGTCTCCCTAAAATAAAATGTCCCTCTTTATATGTTCCTCTCTCTCTCTCTCTCTCTCTCTCTCTCTCTCTCTCTCTCTCTCTCTCTCTCCACAGTGTAATTGATGTTCAAAAAAAGAGGTTAATGAAAATCTGAGGAAAATTCATAGATGTGATCAATACCACAAGCAAAGAGATGTGCATCAAGTCAAAACACATATTGCACCCAAGAGCTGCTATAATAATAATTTTTTTTATTTCCTATCAACATTGACCAACCAAATCAAGCTGGCAAGTCAACTTTATAATAATACTAAAGCAATGTGGAGTCATTCTGTAGCGAGGACCTCATATTAGGCCTGTCGATGAGGTCCTATCTCTCAATCGTTGAATTTATCTAACTAATTTAATCAAATGCTTAAGAAATAAGGTCTCATCTAAAGGCCTCACTATAGCATTCTTGAAGAAAGCAATGTGATTCCTCGACGTGAATCGCTTTGAATCAAAATATTCCAAGTAGGTAAGTGAAATGGAAAAACTTGGCCCTCTGCTCGGCCCAAGCTTAAAATTTCAGCCTGAGAGTTTGGGCTGGGTTGAAGCTGAAATTATTTATTATATTTTTGCATTTCACTATGGGTTTTTGCTTGCTATTGCATATTAGGCCGAATTATAATTAATTAGTTTGAGGCTTCAATGGATCCCACCATCCAGCCCGTTTAACATTAAGGCTAGGTCCAGCTTCTATAAAGGGCATTCATGTCTTTTCCCCAGTTAACATCACCAAATGATGGTATACATGATGTGCCCAATATTAAGAAACACTTTTTCACATGTCAGTATGTGATTGGTTGGAAATAGCAAAACTGTGTTCTTCTCGTTTCATACAAGTTTTTCTGCCCAATATGAGGTATAGTTGTTATAAATTATGTACACTTGTAATATCATATCGACATGCAACATTCCTCGCATTACTCAATAATTTCCTGCAACTTATTATTCTCAAATTAATTTGAGCCTTAAAGTATTCCCCATACTCAGCAAGCAGCTTCAAATCCCAAAGAGAGTAGAGAAGATAGTTTCCTATTCATGCAACACAGTTCATATTGATACCTTCCTACCAGTTGAGATTTTAGGTCCCCATGAATTTAGCAGCAGTCTCCATAAATACCAAAACCACAGTACAAATTATATGTTTCCAACTAACACTCTTAAACTCTCATTAGTTCTTAGCAAAAAGCAAAAAAAAAAGGGTCTCCTCAGTCTTGGTGCGCATCTTTTGAAAAAGAAGCAAGAATTTCCTTGAGCTGCTTGTTGTAAACGAAGGGTCTTTCCATTTGAACAAGGTGGCCTGCCTCCTCTATAGACTGCAGTTTTGCGCTGCCTCCCAATTGCCTGTAAATATCAGGGTTTCAAATCAATTATATGTTAAGTCTAAAAGATTTCTATGCACTATCACAAATTCAATTATTTCAGCCAGTTGTTGTTTTGTATCGAAGTCAAGGTCTACGAATGTATTTGAATCCATTCCACAAGGTAGAATAACGTACATTCTTAGGTTCCTGGCTGTTTCCATGTTGAAAATTTTGTCATTCTCTCCCCACAAAAGATGCACTCTCTGCAAGAAAATGAATCATTAGACTATTAAAGAAATATGAGTACTCCTATGCTAGCTAAATTTTTATCACCAAAAAATATGACAGTTTTTTCGTTTATTCAAAAATAAGCTCCCACTAAAATACAAAGTGTCAACAGGAGTCTAGCCCAATGAAAATGGGTATTGACTTGCAGACCAATGGTCTCAAATTTGAACCGTCATGGCTCCTTGGTAGTATGTATGTGAGAAACCCCCGTCGTCCCTTTGTAGTTTATCGCTTGTATTAAAAAAAAAGTTGCACACTAACTAGTAACATAGTATGTACATGTATGCTGACAAATAATTTAGTAAACAAATTTGGTGAACCTGATATCAAAGAAAATTGATGCAAATACCCACGTTTGTCAAAACTAGAAGGATATTGATGCAATAAATTTGAGCCTAGCTACATATAATTGTCATGTTATAGCTTCGAGACTGTCGTCCCCCAAGAAGTACAAAAATCTGGTGACATGCCGTTATGATCATAATTGAAGAACACTGTACAAAACTTCAAGTTATTTGGGGACAAGCTCAAGAACAACAAACCTGTGGAAAATCAGCAATAGTAAAGTCCTTGTCATCAACTACCAATGCCTCTAGAAGTTCTTCCTTCTCCTTTCTGTTGCCAAACATAACCTGCAACCATTCATGGATCATTGAAATGTTTTAGGCCACCAGACCATTTGCCTGAAAATATTTGTACTAATAAATGATTAATTAAAAGCTTTACCTCAAAGCAATCTTTGTAAATCCAATCAGGGAGATGAGGAAACTTGTAAGCAGCAATTTCAAACATATTTCTCACACCTTTGACCGAGTCAGGAAGCAAGTAATCAGGCCAGCATTTGAACCCAAGTCTCTCAAGAGAAGCATCGCTGATGGATCTGGTCAAAGCTAAAACTGAACAAGTCGCCACAATTGACTCAACCAAATTGGGGTACAACTCAGCCATTTTGAACCCAACTATCCCACCATAGCTCAACCCCACCAAGGTGCACCTCTCCACCCCCATCTTCTTCAAACCCTTGGCAACACACTCGGCTTGAAACTCCGGTGACCTATCCGATTTATCTGTGATGGATCCCCCGAAGAAGAGAAAGTCCGGGACATAAACGGCGTAGTTTTTGGCCAAAGATAGCACTTGAAGTTGCCATGTGAAAATACCATCCATTGCAAAGCCATGAAGGAACACCACTGCTGGCTTCGATTTCTTTGGTGTGTTTTCAATTTTGTTGGGGATATTACTAGAGACCCAGAAGTTCATGATCGTTCCTGGCTCTATTTCGACAGTTTGGGGTCTCACCCCAACTAGTTTCATAATCCCATGCAGAATAAACTTGTATACTGAAAAAATGTTCACCATCTCTCTCTTTCTCTCTCTGGTGCACACAAAGAGAGACTAAATGCAGTGTTAACTTTATAAGACTTGTTGGCAGCCAGCAAATGTGAATTATTTCCACAATCTTTTGTTTATTTTAAAAGGGTTTTTAACTGTAGAGGTCCCTGAACTTTACCTCAAGTTGTGATTGGGTCTCCGAACTTTATTTTTAGGCAAGTAGGTCATCCAACTCTCTCATCCGTTCCAATTCAATTTGGCCGTTAATTTCAGGGCTAAAACCGTCCATTTTAATTAAAATATTTTAAAATTTAAAAATTGGAAAGAAAAACAGGAAAAACAGGAAAAAATAAATAATTAAATAAATAAATAAACTTAAAAATAAAAAATCCAAATCCAAATCCCTCTCTCTCTTAGCTCTCCCCTCTATGTCTCTCCCTCTCTCCCGCAACCCATTCCCCCTCCTCCTTAGCCCACCCCCTCAAAACCCAGATCCCAACCCAACCTGTAACCCACCCCCCATCTCCCAACCCGCAGAACCCAGAACCCACCCGCAACCCCATCCCCTCAAGCTCTCCTCCTCCGCTGCCGCTGTAACAGCGGCGGCGC